GSCKAWATAATTTAAATCTGTCCTAAGTTTCGTAATATTACTGAAGCTGGAAGGTCTTTTCAATTTAGTAGCGCCAAGTTATGGAACAGTTTGCCAAATGAGCTTAAGAAGAAACGCAGCACTTCCTCTTTCAAAAATGATTTGAGAAATTATTTTATTGATTCTTATAGAGAAATTGATTCTTTTGAGGCTATATTGTAATATATATTTTATTCCATATATTCTATTTATATTCGTTTTTAATAGTTAGTTTGTTAGGCTAGTTCCAATTTTAATTCTAGACTTGCATGTATTACTTACTAATCCTTAGTTTTGAGGGCCACTGGTTTGTCAGCGCAAGCTATTATGTGTATACCCTCTTTAAATAAAGTTGACTTACTTACTTACTTACTCAATGTTAACGTTGTTACTGGATTGAATTTATTTTACTTATTAAACTGGCTTTGATTTTTTACCCACGGTCCTTTACGTTCAACCTTGGCTTGCCTATTGAGCCGTGGCCCAGCAAACAGAGCTTAGGCAAAGCAGCATGACCAGCACTTACTTTTAAGCGGGTAGTTATAAGATGAGCATAAATGAAATCTTTGTTAGCGAATAGTATTTTTATGCAACCGTCACTAGGCCCAAATCGAGCATGCACTCTCAGCCTTGGCCATCCCAGATTACGTGAACAATCTTGTGGGTCCAGCTGCCCCAAAACTTGCTTACAGAGAGTTTCAATATTTTCCCCTCGCAGCCCTGCCCGGTTGTACATGTGTTTGGCGTTTGTTGTTGCCCTCACCTTTCCTGGGCCAAATTCAAGCAATTTCATTTCTTAATGTTGTTACTGGATTGAACTTATTTTACTTATTAAAGTGGCTTTGAGTTTTTACCCACAGTCCTTTACGTTCAACCTTGGCTTGCTTAATGACCCGTGGCGCAGCAAACAGAGCTGAGAGAAAGCAGCATGACCAGCACTTACTTTGAAGCGGGTAGTTATAAGATGAGCATAAATTAAGTAACGAGGGATGGAAATAAAGTAGGAAATAAAGTAATTGGAACCAAGATAAAGAAAAATAAAAAAGAAAAATAACACTCCAAAGAAATTAGGAAAGAACCTGATAATAACTTAATTAAAGCAAATTTAAAAGTGCTCTTCCCAATAAAAGAAAATCTTTCTGACAATTTGGCATTTAGACATTCATATGAGCTACAAACTTTAGATTCTAAATTGGCCACTTTTTTTAATGCACAACTTGAACGTTCTTCAATGAAACGCTTAGTTTAGGAGTTCGATGACAGATCAAATGGCTACGACAATATTTGCATTTTGGTGATAAATGAGGCATTGAAATAGTTTTGTAACTAAGATTGTCGGTTTAAGATAGCAGTTTCATCCATTAAAAGGAACACCTTTCATAAAGAAGAAAGAAAGGCGAAACAGCATCAATTTTTAATTATCATTACCTTCAAGTTTAGATCGTCAAAATTCTATCGAGTGTAGGGCAATTCCACAGTTCTCTAAAACAGTTTGTTTCATGTCGCTTTTCTCGATGTTCTTTGTAACTTTTTCTTTTTTTAACGCTATCACGCGTCAGGGGTAAAAGGAATAAATAAACCACTCGATTGGAACGTGGAGTCCTTTTCTTCTTTCCAATGAAGTTAAAGGATAGAACCAGTCACATGCATATGACGAGTAAACGTGGCATGTGACGAATTTGCACTTAAAAAAAATGTGCCATTCCCTGCATATGTTCTTTGATCAAGTAACAAAAGTAAAGTTACAGAGACGTCTCACCTTGATTGGGCTGTAATAAGCAAATTGCCAGGAAAACGACCACCGCAGCTACCATTTTGCTGATTCAAAACGCTGCTTCTAGTGGGGTTGCTACGTGTTTCATTAAAATTAAAGAATCCTTTCAAATGAAAATTGCTTAAGGCTCTATATCAACATCATTCACTCTGAGTGATCATTGTAACACGAATTTTCTTTGTCGTTCCTAGGGAGTTGTTCAAACAAATAAGGCCGATATAATAGCTATAATGCGGATATTAATGATTGGAAAAGAGCGAATGGAATTGTTCTCGACACATACTGTTTTCGTACGGAAAAATTAATTAGTACGTAGGTGTCAAAATCCTTCTAATTTTTGTTTCCGTTTAAACCTCTCAACCTACGAATGCAAGTTCTTTTGACTTATGTAGACTGCGAGGAGTTTCAATTATTAGATGTCACACCACATGTTTGGACAGCTTGGTTCTTTCCATTACACAAATGCACAGTACTCTAAAAATTGCCTTTACGGGTGGTAAAAGCGTCATTTAAAGTGGCACACGGCCTTAATTTCAATCAAATGTCCATACATTTTTTAGCATGACAAAGTAAACATTTACATGGAAATGATTGACGATGATCATAAAATTATTCTTGGATGCCATTTGAGGTCGGACATTCAAAATTAGTTCGCAGTAGGGGGATACGCATGAAATAATCAACGCCGAAAATTAACTAAGCATGATTATACTCAAGAAAGTTTGAAGCAGTTTATAATGGCTTTCCACGCTGATGGTAAATGATTGGCGTCAATAATATCTTCCTTTTAAAATCACCGAGCCCGCTCAAAAAGTTTGCCTGTTTATTCAGTTGTCTGGTGACACTTTCCAATTTGTTGATAGTCGCAAAGGTTTAAAGTTCTAGTCTTCGTAGCTCAGATTTCTTTCTTTGCTCTTCGCTTGTAATTTCATTCCTCAACTATTCGCCTCTATATTGTCATCGTACTTGTGTACTTAAAGGGCATTACATTACCAAAGCGACTCCCAGAGGTGAGTTTCGACCATGTGAACTGGTTTCAGTCTGGGTGCGGTTGTGGCTGCGCACAGGCGGTAACGTCTCGAGGAAAACTAACACATTGGCTTCTGGCACTTGTAAAGCCTTCAACGACTTACAATTTCGTTATCATCCACTCAAGACTTGCAATTTTTGAAGCAATAAGATACTTTTTTTTTTTAACTGGAGGCCATGGGTTCTTGTTTTAATATATACTTAGTACATATATTAAAAGAGAATATACTTTAAAATTATATTTGGGAATACCTAAAATATTAAATGGAAAGACTGCATAAACAATGTCAGATTTCTTATCCTTTTGTACATATCGTTATTACACGCTAAGTGATAGACAATTAGGTATTCGTCTTGATTTTCCCTGCATAACCTTTCTGTTTATTGTCATAGTATAACTCGGAATACAAAGAAACATGAACCAAAAGCAAAATAAAATAAAATCCTTTCAGAAACATCTTTCGTCAAAAGTTGAACATGCCTGAGTGGACGTAACTGTAATCCAAATAAAACAAGAATAAAATGTTTGTGAGTCGAAAATGTTTTCAATAATCAGATTATACCAGTTACTTAATCCATTAATTAATTGCGTTATGACGACTGAAATTTTCCACTTGTCGGATACCACGTTTTGTGGCAACTAACCTTAATATTTGGGCAGTCAGTTTTATAAATACTGTAATTTTCCGCGTTGGAAATAGAGGGAATGTTGGATTCACTCATCAACACAGTTGGGCCTAACTTAGTTCGTGAGAAGGTCGCTAGCCTGAAAGTTTGGTTTCCAGTCTCCCTCAAATTGATAGGGCACAAAAAATAACGCCTGGGATATTTTCTGTGTGGAAGTTATTAATTTCTTTTTGCCCTTGGTACCAAGTGACGACCATTATGCGGCACTCTTTTGAACACGAGAAACAACATAAAATTGAACCTCAAAAGCAAGCCGATTTTGATGTCAAATATCTTAAAATTTTGCAAAGATAAAGACTAATGTTGGAACTTACCAATCGGATAGAAAGTAAGGTATGTAGTGCTCGTACACGAGAGATGATATGCAACGAAATTAGTAACACGAATCAGGAAAAATGTTTCAAGCCACTACTGCGCGTGTTGATTCGACAATTCCCGCGATGTGGAATCCAAAATCCACTACATGCTGAATCATTGTTTTTAAAAACTGATGTTTACCTCATCAGCAGGCATTGCAGGTCTTCTTGCAATAAAAGGTTTTCAGCATATTGCCGAAGTAGGAGTTTTCACAGAAGTTGTATTTGTCCCAAGTGCTGCAGTAGTCATGGGTGTCTACACATCCTAGTGCTAGAAAAATGTTTTAGTTAACATCAATACGAAATTATTGGATAAGGTTTAACATGTTGTCATGGATTATCAATGCAGAGGTCTAAGTTATCAGCCAAAGCTGAAAGCTGAGGGAGATAACACAGACACAAGGAGAGATAATTCATGATATTATGTGAAAAGCAAATCCAATAACTGTTTTATCAGACACTTTAAAATAATCTGCAAAATAAAGATTTTGCTCTCTGAGTTTGCATTTAAGTTTGAGAACACTACATAGTAAAGGGACTTGGAAACTAGCAGACTTTGAAATTTTGAAGCCCAATATCTGCTGCAGATATTGGGTTATATTATCAAGTCAGCTACATGTGCTATTGTATTCTGACTGTATGCTCTCTACCATTCAGAGTTTTCATATGATAGTAAGTCCAATGTATAATGACATCAATTATTGTAGCATTGGACAATTAATTAATTATTCATTATGCTCTTATTGTTCATGAAAACCAGGCTTAAGATAGGTGGACTGATTTCTATTTATTTATGATTCAAAAAGCCTTATCAAATTTTTCAGGTGAATGGATGAGTAACTGTTCCTGTACTTTTCAGTAAAGATATTTAATTTCTGCTGGTTATTTCAAGTTAAAAACCTTGCATTTAGCAAAAATTGTAATGGAACTAATTTTTATCATTCACCGAGGTCATTCCAGTTTTTGTGTATGTCTTGGTGTGAACCAATGGATATGTGGACATGTGTATAATTGTTGACTAAGAGAGCCATCTTTCTGATCGTAAAATAATTTTTTTATTTTGTTTTCTTTTAAACTTACGTGGTTGCAGAGGTTGTGAAGTCATCTTCCATTTGATCCACTCGACATAACTATTGATTCTTACAAACACAGAGTAGGTTGGGCCTCCTTTGCAATAATGATCCCCCCAGCTGACTGTACCCCGAAGAGTCCATAGACCAGATTCATCCTGACAAACTAGAGGCCCACCACTGTCTCCATGGCAACCACTGACTTTGCTGTTCCCACCATACCCTGCACACACCATCAGCAAATCCACAACTTCACCCAGAGGTTGGTTGGCTTTAGCACATGTATCATACTCAACAATGGGCAACTTAGCTTGCATAAGGATTTGAGATTTGCTGCCTTGGAAAGTAGAACTACCCCATCCTGGATAAAGAACAAGACAAGTCTAATCTTAAGAAAGAATTTCACAATACTTTGAGTTAGAAAAATGTAACCACACTGAGTGTTTGTTATTAAGGGATGGAATGAAATGAATTCGGTGAAAAACAAATAGCAAATAATAAACCAACCCCTAAAGACAACTATCTTAAATCCAATTGCTGAATTCTCGGGTTAACAAATTGCCTTGTAATGAAAATCATCCATCAGGATGATTTATACAAGTGCATGTTGAGAATTCTTGCTTTACTGGATTGGAAACATATCTATATCATCAATACAATATTACATTGTGGTAGTAATGTATTGCACCTTAGGGAAGGTCCTTCAAATTGATTTTTGGGCCTAATTAAAGCAGCAAGAAAGAATGTAAAGACAGCGGAGTGACAATAACTCTCAAAAAAGAAACAAGAACTTTGAGTTTAAATTAATTATAAACTTCCCTATGTTGGTCGGTTTTCGAACATCGCTCAGACTAAGTTAAGACAACTACTCAAACGTTATTGTAGAGCTGATTTAGATGTTAAGTTAGTCTTCAGTACGTTTAAACTCAGAAACATGTTCAGTGTGAAAGATTCAGTACCGCTAGGTCTACGTTCGCGTGTCATATATAAATTTTCATGTGCTGGCTGTAATGTCAGTTATATTGGTGAGACCACTCGCCACATTTGTACACGAGTTCGTGAGCACCTCTTGTCGGACAAAACTTCGCATATTTACAAGCACCTGCAATCATCAAGGGATTGTCTTGACTCTTGTGATACTGAATGTTTCACGATCTTAGATTCTGCCGCTTCAAAATACCAAATTAAGATCAAAGAGGCATTGCATATTAAGTGGGAAAAACCTATCCTTAATCAGCAATTGAAATGTCTAGAATTGTCTCTTTCCTTTTAATTATGTTGTTCATTGGTCTTTTAATTCATTTTTATTATTTATTTATTTATTTGTATTTTGATCTAGTCAAGCGCACGCTATTTACATTTTTCGCATTTTTAACATTCAAATGTAACATAAGCCCTGACACGTAGTTTGTAACGTACCTTAATATAAATTCAAATGTGCAACAGTTAAATGCTCATTTGCAACTGAAGATGACATGAGAATGTCGAAACATGTCTTGTAAATTTAAACTCAAAGTTGTTGTTTGTTTTTCAAGAAAGAATACCGGTAAGTAACAAATAAAATATTAATGAAAATACTTATAATAACCCTTCACATCCTAACAAGGGTATGAATATTTTTCTCCAAATTTTGTTTATCTATACAATCTCTATGATACATGTACTGACAAGGCAAATCTATAAGACCAATCAGGACCTTCTTTTGTAAAGGCCATCATTTCCTTTTCTACATCAAATAACTTAAACATTTGACTCAGAAGAAGGGCTCTACGCTAACTTTTCAACTTCGTAGCCAAGTAGCTAGGAACAACTTTAAGCTGTTACAACAACAATTTCAGTTTGCTTACTGGCCAAACTGGCTAGTGGAAATCAAAAACCACTAGTCAAAACTGAATTTCTATCTGTCTGTGGCTAGTTGGCTACTCAGTTAGTCTTGAGCCCAGCTGAGAAGTGAAACCATATCCAGGAATATGATGCTAGTTATGCTCAGTAATCAGGGTTAAGATTAACCATGACAAAAGGCTTGCCCACTGGGTATGCATGGCAAGGATCTTGATAAGAACCCTTTACACCTGAAGCTCAGGGGTGTAGTGACTGATTTCCTATAATTAGAATGATGATATTAATTATAATAATAGTTAAGTAATAAGAAAATAATTGTTTCTAACCAGTCCTTCCTTTGACTTAACGAGACTACTAACATGCACTAGACTCAGTGTTTACATGTACCTGTGATATAGCACATTGTGCCTGGCTTAACATGGTCTGTCTTTTTTCCACTTGGCATACAAGCCAGACCAACTCTTGCATTAAGAGCTGCTGGACGAGAGAGCTTTAATAGTGCAATATCATTGCCGTACCCCTTTGTCATGGCTAATTTGTTGATGTGAATCTCTGAAACACTTATACTCTGCACTTGATCTGACACTGAACGATCGTGAACACCTGTTAAAGATAATTTGAATACAACACAATATTGGTTAATGAGTTGCTAGCTTATGTATTATCTTGACTTCTGAATAATTTAAGAAGCAGAGCAATGGTTTCCTAACTCTTTTAAGTCCTCTCGTGTGATCACCCCATATCATCTTGTTTAAGCTGTGTATATTTTTTAATAGGATTACTTAATGATGCGGTTTTGGTTCTGGGATACAAGCAATACCCCATTACAATTAGTTCTTTAATTTTAGTCTAATTGAAAATCAATTGAAATTCCACCTACATGTGCATGTTTTGAAACATCCCTTTGTTTTCATATAATTAAACAAAAGATTCTGTCAAAGACTGTTAAAACTCATTTGTACCCAAATCCAAAACTGAGATTTAAAAAAAGACATCATGAAAAAGCTAAATCGGTCATTTTAATGTTTGAAAGTTTGTGACAGACTTAAATATAAAGAAGAAACAGACAGTCAGGGATATTTTTTTGGAGCTGTTTAATCTTAACTTTAACAAAGATTTACATAACATTACTATAATAATTTTATCTATGATAAGTGAGGCAAAGGGGAGAAAAAAATTTTTTATGAATGAAGATAAGGCTCCAATTGAATGAACACAGTTTTCAAAAGTTGTCTTACCGAGTCGAACTTCATATGATTCTGGAAAGGGAACACCAAAAACACAATGGGCAGCTGTCACAATGAAGAAAGGTGTAATCAGTGTCCCACCACATTTAAAGATGAACTGTCCGCTAGCTTTATCCTTGATAAGAAGTTCTACCTGCCAAGGCCACGAGTGTGGAATGGCACTTTCACCTGCCACGATCCTTGACATCTGCCTCGTACCGCAACGAAGGTTTTCAAAGGGAGAACCTGCTTTAAAGGAAGCAAACAGAATGACCGTAATTACAGCTTTATCTAATTTATCTTTAGCTTTAATTAACCGATAAACATGTAACCTCTCTCTTCAGTCAGCAGCTAAGTGTAAGATTAGACAAATATACCAATAAAAAAGAGTACTATCTCAGTTAAAATACAGGGAAATGAAGTCAACTTCATATAATTTGTTTTGTAACGCTTTAATTAAAATGGCCGCTGTGCATCTTCCGAGAGAAAAAGTTTTTTTTAAAACCTTCATGCAGAGCACCACGCCATTGCTATTTTAACGTGTCTGTAATACATACAGTAGCTTTGCTTTCGGCCAGTCCGCGGTTGCATACAGGGGACATGTTAAAAGTACGTGTAGTCAACAGCTGCAACATTTTGACTCATAAAATCTCTTTTATCTTTTTCGAAATGTCCCGCACAAAGCTCAATGGCCTGGGAAGCTTGAGTTCTAGTCCTTCCCAGTCTAAAACACAGAACAGAACGCCTGGGATTTTTGCTGGATAGCGGGCATTTTAAGAGTGAAGGAGTTACTTTCCTTGCCATAACCCGGGAGTGTTAATCCTACTGTCTTACTTTTCTGAACACGAGTAAGTGCATAAATAGACCCTCAAACCAAGCAGACCTTGGGAATAAAAATGAGACTATTTTGCTCACATAAACAACGAATAATGCTGGAACTAGAAAGTAAGCACTTTTGTAGCGCTTGTAAACAAGTAGGAAAGAAAAAATTAAATCTGCTTCTACAGAGACCTTCGACTTACTTACATACATATGCATGTGTCTTTTTTGTATCACATAGTGTCGTTGAATCAATTTCCACATTATCCGTAAACCGAACTGCATTCAATAGTTTCCAGTGGGTACGAAAGTCGGGTTCTGTCCTCGTGTACTGGTTCACAAGAGCCGTTACAAAAGACCGAACAATACACAACAGTTAACCAATGACTCCTAAACAAAGAAAGAACAATGGTAATTCCCTTGTGAACCGGTACACGAGGACAAAACCGAAAGTCGCAACAACGGGCAGAAAGTCGTGACATCCACAGACAGCAGTAAAAATTCTAAAATGTTTCGCTCTCCGTGAAAACTTTAAGTCCTTCCCCTATGTTTTCTACGACGAAATGAATATCAGAAGTTTCGGAAATTAATAGATGTAGAGCCACTACTAAACATGTCGATTCGCCTTTTCTGACGCCGGGTTTAAAAAGAAAACCTCTCAAAAAGAATAAGAACAGTTAACTAAGTTTTACACCGAATCGGTGTAGATCATCTCCTGAAAAAGTGTTTTGAGAATATGTAAATCATAGATAACCGAAGGAATAAAAGTTCTCAAAAAAAAAATTGTGATCGCGGAATATTGCAAATAACGACCAGCTTGAGGCGTATTCGAAAAAAAACAAAAAAAATAAATAACGCTATATTAGAATTGACACCCGTTGTTAAAACTAATAAACGTTTTGTTGAACATTACATGTCCATGTTTTGTTCTTTTTATTACAAGTTTGACAGCTTTGCCCACGTTTTCATGCCTTTGTTTTGTATCCTTTATTGTTTCGAAATACCTCCGTGAAGTTGGAATTTATAACGAACAACTTCCCGCTGAATTCCAGTAAACAGTGACACCCGTCTAATTTATCGCTATCCGTGTTGTATTTTGCTTCAGAAAATTTTTCTCATTTATGAATTGCTATTTCCAGAATTGAAATGAATTGATTTAAGTTGACGAATGAAACTGACACAGCGCGTGATATCCTAGGAGTTATATTTGTCAGTTCTATCAAGGAATGCGTCTTAAAGTTTCCATTCAACTCTAGTCACAAGTTTCCGCTAAAGTTTAATTTTCCGACAATGTCATAGAACCCGTCCAAGTTTTAAATCTACGTTCTACGATTTGCTTATAACTTCCCTCCTATAATGAACTTTATATTGACAGATTGAAAATTAAAAAAAATATATTAAAACTAACAAAGGGAAACAGTAATCATTACTGTAAACATCACAAAGTTCTTTGATCTTTTCTGCTCCAAGTGCATAATGTCTTAGCTCACTTGGATAAAAAACAATGAAATCGTTCGCACAAAGATGAATGTACTCGAGATCCGAAAGGAAGAATATAGAACACCCTCAATTGTTGGAAAAAAAAATCATCATTTGAATATTACTTCGTCTTGAAGTTCAGTATTTCACCGACAGTAGTTATGCATTCTATAGGTTCGTTACTAACTTGAGGATCAGTTGAATTTTTAACTCTAATTGTAGCGCTGATTTCAGTGCGTTTCATATTTTAAAATGAACCCTACTTTCCGCTGTTTTTTGAAAGTTAGTGTTAATCAGATCATCAGCAAGCAAATTATTTTTGTTCGCAAAAGCTTTCTTACTTTGAAAAGCGTATAAATAATCATACCTCCTAAACAGCTGAAAGAAAATAGGGCGATACAAACAAGTTTCAGAAATGTCGAAGCAGCCATATTTCACATGCAGCTTCCAAGCTCTTTTTGCTAGGTAGAAGCACTCTTTCCTTCTCATGACGTTACCTCAAACAGCGGCGTTTTCATAAAAACGAGGTTTGGATACAAGCACCAATCATGTCTGACTTTTGCCTTGATGATTGACATTTAAAGTAATTAAAAAATACGAAAAGGCCACCTATCATTTCCCGAAAATACCCGTTATTTTGAAAACTTTATATTTTTATTTAAAAGAAATGTCAATCTCGCCTTTAACGTGGAGTTCTTTACGAAAGGAGGGAATAAGACAGTCAAGCGTTAGCTGTAAGAATTTACATCGAAATCCTTGGTTTAAGCTAGTTTCAATCTCAATGAAATGGATTGCAGTTATTGTCTTCCTAGTTCAATATTTGCTTATACTTCATCGCAATGTTCTTAATTTGGTTCATAACATAAAAACCATCATACTTTTACTAGTATGACTTAAAATAAATTAACATGATACTCTTTAAGCATAGTTCTCAAGGAAATAAAGTCAGACATGCTTCATATGTAAATTTATTACAACACGCCGATTGACGCCGGCCTCGTTTATAGATTTGCAAGTTGTCATTTACAAAGAAATAGGGTGAAATAATTATGATACTTCCTTCTCTCCCTTGAGTGTGAGTCAAGATAGTATTTCGCATATCCTCTCAATTTTTAACAAACAAATTTATAGTAACGATAGTATTAGAACAATTCTGTTTCGGGAGATTGATAGGATTCGAGTTGTCATTAGAAATAGCCAACGATATGTGCGAATTACAATTTCAGTGTTTTCCAGAGATTTTCGCATTTTTTAGTGAATTAAAATTTCCGTGTTGCCGAGAAATTTGTTTAAGGCGAACAAAATAAATCTTTGAGAGATTTTCGATTGTTACTTGATCTTTCAACGATAATAAAATGTTACCTGACTTTACTCTTACGTTAAAAATGACTGAGAAATGCTTTGCTGACTTACAGAAGTCACGGAGGGGATCTTTCGGTTTCGTGAAAAATGTTGTTGTATGTGCGTATTGCGACTGATCATCTATGCCGTAAAGATTTGATAATGATAATCATGTTGACAATTTTTGTTCTTTCTTTGCAGTGTGAAATGTCGTGTCGAACATGGTGTTGTTTTAAGATTAATAAGCAATGAGCACTCAAGTTAAAGTGCCTATAACCCCCAAAAATGTTTTTGGCCATATTAAACTACTCTATTGCACTGAGCAAAATGCCGCAAAAATTTTTGTGTTTGGTTAAAACCGCGATCTTTTATGAATTTTCAAAGTCGTGGAAAATCGCATTTTTTCAAAACACGACCGAGACACGGAATTATCAAGATGCGTCTGGGTCGAGCACAGTTTGTGACGTCATTCCAGGCTTTCTAATGAGTTTGCTTCAAGGAATGGATGAAGTATCTTGACGGATATGCCTGATAAGTGCGTTGTTTTAGGGTGTAGCAACACTCCCACAAAGAAAAAAGAATAGCACTTCATCCAATACCTTTTTATGGGGCAGATGACCCGGAAAAAAAAAAAAGAAAAGAAAGAAGTTGGTTGACCTTGTGCAATTGAAGCGTGCACATTGGAAGCCCACAAAATACTCGGCACCGTGTGTTCCAACCACTTCCGAGAAGAAGACTATTCAGTCATGTCTTCTGCTCTGACTAGCGAGACCATGCGACGAAGGTTGCGAAAAGATGGAGTTGGAATTTGCGTCTTTCTTATTGTTCACGCGTGGAATGTTGAGGAAACGAAATCAGCTGAAAGCGAGCGAAGTAAGAGAAAGGTGAGAAAAATTTACCAGATCAGGCTTTAGCGAAGGTTGGGAACGTATAATATTGACTGAGATTGGATCGGAGCGCCACTGCCGATTTTGCTTCAGAAAATTTTTCTCAGTTATGAATTGGTATTTCCAGAATTCCAAAAATAAACCCGACTTTGAAAAATCATAAAAAATCGCGGTTTTAACCAAACACAAAAATTATTGCGGCATTTTGCTCAGTGCAATAGAGAGATTTAATATGGTCAAAAATTGTTTTGGGGGTTATAGGCATTAGGTTTTCATTGAAAACAAATCATGTAACGAATTATCTTTTATAGCCAAGATTATGCACTTTATTATTCCCCTTAAGAGATGATTGCTAAAGATCTTCTAATCCTCGTAAGATTTTAGCTTTATGTCACAAAAAGAAGCTGTTGAACGGTTGTCGGGCCGCCAGAAATATCTAAATTATTTGCATTTCAAGACAATGAATATTGCTGTTAAAGGAAACTTCGTCAGTAAGCATAAAAACTTGGCCGTCTTGAGTCAGACAGTTTAAGAGCACAGATCCTTACCTAAATTGGTTCCTTTAAGATGTTTGGACACCGTGCTATTACCTTGGAAAGGATTAGAAAAGGTTAAACTAATGATAAATGATGTATGAAACATTTGGCCACGGTGGAACATACTCCATAACGATTTCAGTTTGAAAATGGAGGAAATTGTCAGCGAATAAGCCTTTATCCGATACACGACAACTGCGGTGAAAATGAGGAGCAAACCCCTCATCTAGCTGTGAAAAACGTTTAATGGCTTATAAACATCGTGAAGAAATACAAAAGTGTAAAAACCACATAGTTTAGTGAAGGGCTTGACCTCCACTCATTTATACAGTGACAACAGAAACGTTAAGCCGTCTTAAGCGGTACAGCTAAGAAACGCAGACCATTACTTTAAGTGCCTCTGTAGTGTTGTTTGTACAAACTGATGATAACTTGACGTGTTCCTTTTTGGCTGATAAACGAAAGTGCCCCATTATTGTCCTAAAACTACGATATATCCAGTAAGAGTGTGTTCTGAATAAAACAAACCCTTGTTGAATTTTTTCTAAGCCTGGCTTCCAGAACATTTTATTTTGTATAGTATTATATTACAAAATATACCTATGAACAATAAAAAAAATACAGAATATATGTGAGAATTCTCAATATTTTGGCGGTGAAATTTTTTATGTATTTAAACACCATCGTCAACAACTAAAATATTAAGTTGGATTTGATTTTTTAAGCTTGACTCGGGTGTATAAACAACGTAAACGCCCTGCCGCACCGAACGAAATAGATCAAAAGAACGTAATAGTGTACTCAAAGTGCTTTCCTAATGATATTTGGACACCTTGAAATTTCCAGACTTGTGAACACGTATAAATGAACTCTGTGAGAAAGAGACCTGCTCAATAACCAGAGGCAACTTTCCACGAAGATGAAATTCAGGTTACAAGTGGTTGTGGCAGCTTTTTTCGTACATTTGGCTCTCTCCCAAGGTATAATTCCCAAGAATGTGTAATTAAGTCCAATTTTAATCTGTTTTTACTCTAAACACAGCTAATGTATCATTTAAGAACACTTGATCACAATTATTGCATTCCCTATTCCACATCGAACTCAATTTGCTCCTCTCCAGAGTGCGGTAAACGACACTTTCTCTCTCGAGTTGTGGGTGGTGAGGATGCACCAAAGCATTCTTGGCCTTGGCAAGTGTCCCTTCGAATCCCCGGCCGCGAAGGGAATCCGGTGCACATTTGTGGCGGCTCTTTGATCGGGAACGAGTGGGTGGTGACTGCGGCACATTGTGTTGTGGACCAATGTGACAGACCTCGGGATCCTGCTCAGTTGACCGTTGTTCTCGGTAAGGAAAAGCGGCATGTACAATTTATAGTAACCCCTTTCGGGAAGCCTCGGTAAATCGGAATGTTACGTTTTAAGTCCCCTTGAAAGTCAGTCCTCTGAACTGGCGAAGCCTCAACTGAGGTATCTTATCGCCAAGAAAAACGCTTGCGTTGTTTCTTGGAAATGTTTAAGAGAAATAGGGTTAAAGCATAGTACAGTGTATAGGAGCGAAAACGTTTCCAAGTCTTGTTTTAAGAGTCCAGGATGAAAAAATTTTCCACCATCGTTGGACCAAGAAAACATTCTGTCATCCTGATAAGCCATACCCTCTTCATTGCAATTTTTTAAATTTGTCCAGGTGCACACGAACGTCTTGGCACAACCGATGTACAGCAGTCAATTAAAGTAAAGGCACTCTTTCCTCACGAGGGCTTCAGTATGCAACACTTAGCGAATGACATCGCGCTTTTACACCTTAGCACAACGGCCAAGATGAGCGACAAAGTCAACCCCGTTTGCCTTCCCGACCAAGGATCTCGAATTCCTGCCGGCTATCCTTGTTACATAACAGGTATGACTAGATCACAATGCAAGGTGTGATGTTAATTCGTTTTAGTTTTTTTTATTTTTATTTTTAATCTTCTTATTTAGGCTGGGGTCGAACCGAAGGTGGAGGCAAAGTCGCAGACATCTTGCAACAAGCGATACTTCCCGTACAGAGCCACGACAATTGTTCCAAAGTAAACGACGACTTGGGACCGATAGACGAAACATCCATGATCTGTGGAGGAAGTGGTAAACCAGAACAGGCAGGTGGTTGCCAAGGTGATAGCGGTGGGCCATACGTATGCGCGGAATATGGCAAATGGGTGTTGCGCGGTGCTGTGAGTTGGGGTCATGGTTTGTGCAAGACGGAATACTTTTCTGTTTTCGCACGAATAAGCTCTTTCAGGGACTGGATTGACGCAAAGATTGAGAGTAAGAGAATGTCCTTTTCCGATAAAATAAACTCATTAAATGTATTAGACATTTACTCAGATAAAACACTTTTGCAACGACGGCTCCTCGTAACATTCTAACACAGGTACTTTTGAAATCTTACAGACAAACCAATTTTTTTTTTATTTATTTCCCCCTGAATCTAAACAATTAGAATTTTACGCTAATTTACGATAATACAAATCTCAGGCTAATATTTTTGATAAAGTGCTTTTTTTACGTAGAAATAACGATATTTGAAATGCCTCTCTGATAGATATATAATTTTCTGCTCATCATTTTCGAAGCGTATTCGAGGTGCGTGTAACAAATGGTCAACTCTAAAAACAACGTAAAAAAAATTAGTCTCTACAGGTGAAGCGGTGACAGTGGTTGGATATTTTGTGCAGAGAATTAGTAATCGCTCTTAGGGTTAATTATGTACGATCTTTGTTTATGAATGTTTTTTTTTTCTTGTATAAAGAGAGATCTGCTAGACAGGTAGCAGGATAACGTGTAGTTGAAATATTCACAGAGTATGAGGCCCAATTCAGGTTCTCGAGTTTTCCCAAATGTACAGGTCACATCGCTGTGAATAGTTGTGTGGTAGAGGTTAGATTTTTGGGCCACAAAACTTGCTATTTCTCTGTCTATCCATTACAGATATAATAAAGTTAACCTTTTTCCTAATTTCCTCTTCCCTTCTTTTATTTTTCTTTTATCAATTTAGGTGATGGAATGGGGTCCGGTGAGTCAACTTTTTCAGACACAATGATTAGATTTGCTTTAAAATATGACGAAGTTCCCAACCGGGCATTTTTTTCTTGTTTTGCAGGTATGGATTAAAAGGAGGTGTTCTTCGCAGCAGTATCTCAACAAACCGTAAAGAAAGGCAAAGACCAGTGATTTTTGTTAGATGTAGTAAAAGGGAAAAGTAAATTTGAGAAGGGTATTGGAAGTGCTGTTTTGTTATTTCATTTTGCATGTTTCTCAATTTCACCTTCGCTGAAACTGATGCGACTCTGATTTTTTTACCTACGCACTGGTTAAGTTTTACGGAGCCCTTAAGTTACAGGTAGCGAGAACCTCGAACCCTGCAGCCGAAAATTGTTTGCCATTCGTTATTCTCTGATTAATAACTTTGTTTCTCCTCACCACCCTACGGCCCAAAAATGAAGGGATATTTTAAGTCGAAATTCCTCTTTGCTTTTTTGGAGAATGAAAAGGTTAGTAGGTTGACCCTTGTATCAGATCTACAGATGGCATTGACGCCCTGCCACCTCAAGCCAAACAGTTTAAGGTAGCCACATACCATTACTTGAAGTGCTTCCATAATGATATTGTGATACCTTGATAATAGCCTGCACTTAAGTTCCTTGTAACAAAATGAAATCAACGTGCCCTTATGTTCCTAAAACTAGGTTAGACCAAGCTTCTCGATCTTCTGCCTTCGTGAAATAATCAAAATTTTCTTGGCCTGGCTTAATTAGACTAAAGTGTCTTAATAGGTCTCAATGTGGTTAACCGATAGCCCTAAAACGGTCCAAAGATTTAGCCGTTAGGCGCAAAAATTGATACATTTGAACCAATAGTTGTAAAAAAGTTGACCGTGAAAAAAGTTAGCCAAAAAAACAATTCTGGTGACAACAATGGAATGATATGAATCGTTATCTGTAAAATGACCAAAATTTTAACTGTTAGCTGTAAAAGCCATCACCCATTGAAATTCTCTCAGAGGTTGTACCCGAAGTATCTTCTAAAGTAACCATTCACTTTCAAGATTTCCAATTTCCCTGTCATTTAGTAAAATTATATTGAAAATCCGCCAACAGCAATCGCGAGAATGAACAATGAATGACCATCATTTTTTTTTTTGGATTTAAACACCCAAATAAACGCTGATCTATAAGCTACTTGAAACCTTTAACGGCCCTCACTAATCGGTTAATGCTGGCTTTTTTAGGGAATTAAACAGTGCTGGTCAAGAGTAACGGAAAATTAAAAATATCTGATGACATTAGATATTTTGCCACGAAAAACATCTTCATGTTTTGATATTAAGAACATTGTAAAATGTTAACGGTTGACAGCAAGAGAACATTTTAACGAACATACCAGGAGAAAAAATAAAACATTGTTTAGATTGGACGTAATGCGGAGTGCATTGACCTTCGTTCAGGTATACATAGAAGGATAGCAACCAGCTGCCTCAGATATGTCATTCTAAAGAAGCAGACTATCATTCAAAGTGCCTACGTGATCGGTTGTATAGACAAATTTGCTAATACTCTGCGTTCATGAGAACACAGGCAGCCCAAGCTCACTACTAGAAAAGCGGACGA